CGGGGGCCATGCTGCTGGGCGCGCCGGCCTGTGCGTCGGGGTGGACGGCGGGTCCCTGCTGGTGATAGTGGAGCTCAGCCAGTGCCCTCACAAAGCCCTCAGCGAACCCCTCCTGCTCGTCTGTGATGTTCTTTGGGCAGACGAACTGGGTCGGGGTGGGAGTCGTCAGCCCGGTGCAGGACTGGATGATCAGTCTCTCCAGTTCAGGCGAGGCCAGCTTCAGCAGCCCGACATCAGGGGACGTCAGGATGTCCAGGGCCTTGGAGCTCAGCTGGGGTTTGAAGTTCTTCGGGTCGTTTAGGTTCAGGGTCATGGTCTGTTTGAGGGTTTTGGGGTTGAACCCATACACCGTCGTCCCGTCATGCTGAGAGTTGGAAGCATTCACGGCTTCGTCGTAGAAAGTCGCTTCCATTTTTCTGGACATAAAGTTCTTATTACCTTGAGGGAGGTCTACTCTCATGAAAGGAAAGAAGTTGAGCTGGTCACATATGTCCTGTGACTCCCTATCTCTCAACTGTCTTGTGACAGAGTCCGCCTATTGTTGAAGTTCAACTCACTTGACAACTTCGCGTCCTGAGAAAACTTTTCTCTTGTGAGCGTCGCGGTCATCAACAAAAAAAACCCTCCGTAGCTGTCCCGCCGCCGAGGGTCAGTGTTTTTACACCTCGAGTATCCGCTTTGATTTAACCTCCTTCCCCCAAAACCAGAAACAGAGCCTGAATAGGGATAATACTTTCTATCACTTCCAACGTGGAGACGAACTTTATCCACCTCTAAGCTGCAGCTCTACTGAAAATAACAATGATGTCATTTCTACGCGCTCTGATTGGCTGGAGATGATTTGGTGGGTGGGGTATGTCTAATGACATGCAGGTTGCTCTGACAACTAGCCATATCCCCGCCCCCCCGCGATGGCTTATGGGATTAGGTAATGCAGACAGTGGAGCAATGTACTCTGGGATTACGTAGTGTTTTTGAATATTTAGTTACCCGCTCAATTATTAGTTACCCATCCCGAAGTGAAGGCTGCTCCAGATGGACGTAGAGTTTAACCTTGATTAACACACAACAGCAAATCGATATTCTTTGATTGAGATGTTTTCGACCGGGAACATACTGCTTACAGAATGTAAAGTTTCATAGATCATTAGATAAAAGCACATTTAGATGATTACCTCATTATCAAAATGCAAATGAGACATGCAATCTAAAAGCTGTCTACATACATGTGGTTATAACAGTTGAGAGAGCGAGTGCTGTTGGCTGGTCAAAGCACTTAAAAGGGTTGAGGGAGAAGAAAGAAAATGAGGTCATACATTCGCCAGGAAGTGCTTTGCTGTATAGAACCACACATTTTAAAAATGTCATTGTCATGCAAGTGTCTTTCTCAGTTCTTGCAGAGAGAGAGGAGAAGGAGGATATGTGTTCTCAGAAACACAATCAGCTTTATTGGCCAAGTATGACACATACAAGAAATATGACAGTAGGTTTCAATATACTTACACACGGGGCCAAACACAGAAAGAAATATAAACAACAAAGATAAACAAACATAAACAGTCATCATGTACAAGCACATGTGGGTATGGAAATACAGATGTGGACAACCAGTATACACTACATAAATCAAATTGTTACTGTAAAGCTGTAATACATACATATATACACACACATATCTCTATTTTACTGTACACACGCATACATAGATATGTACATGTAAACAGAGATATAAATAGAGATATAGATGAACAGGAAGTATGCCTTCTGAATGAATAAACCTTATCTTAATCAAACAATCAGCTCACACTATGATTCAAACAGAATCTTAAACTGGTCACATGTGTCAATCAGAATTGAGCAAACATGGAGGGGAATATAATGTATGGATTAAATAAAAACTAAATTTAGCCCTAAAACTTGGCCACTTGATCTTTGCGTGTGTTTGAGTTGCACGATCACCTTCCTGTGCTGGAAATAATAATAGTAAGTGGTTATAATCTGCTGTTTCCTCCCGTAGGTCTCATAGGTAAATATGAAGCTGCACTTAAAGGATGGCCGATGGCTCTGTACAGCTGCAGTCCAGTGTGTCTGGCCTCCCCCATTGTATTATTCAACATGTTCTCCTCAAGCCAACTATAAATAAGTTAACAGCCCCAGACAGCCTGGGAGAACCAGAGCTGCCTGAGGTCAACACTCTTGAGATGACATGTTGTCTTCACAACACAGCCGCACAACACCCATTTGAAAGTATTTGACACCCTGAAGTGGAAATCCAGAGCTGGAATGCTTTAGAAACATGTCGATTGCCGCAGCAGTAATGAGGACAAACAAAGGCCTCAGATTTTTTCTGTCTTTCTGCATTCCTCATCTCTGAACAGAAAATAGCAACTTCCAATGTGCCAATAACTCTCTGAGCCACTTTACTCTCTCCTTGTCTCTCTCTGTACACCTGTGTTCAGCCCCACCGAGGAGTATTTTCCTATCAAACCGCTGTGCCCCGGCCGTGCTTCCTGTTTCTCTGTCAGCTTTTCCCCTCTGCTGGCCTGATGGCGTTGCTTTGAGATAACAGCGCTTTCCTCCTCCCTGCCCGGGCCAGCTGTTTCCACAGCATGAAGTTTTCTAATCAGGAGCTGGTCCTGCCTGCCTCCCAACAGGCCTGCTTTTGTTGTACAGAGGTGGGACAGTCCAGGGTCCGTGGAAACACTCCCTCTTTCATGAGAGCAAAACACAGAGAAAGGCTATATATGCATGTGTTGATGTATCAACAGAGCAAAGTTTTGATTACCTTCAGGCGTGGACAGGAGGGACGCGCGCACACACACACACACACTGAGCAATGAGAGAGAGACAGATGAGATTTCAAACACTGTCCGTGCAGTGTTTGTTGAAGACCATCTGTTTCTTCCTGTCCTGCTGCTTGGTTTTTCTCTGTACTCCATCTCCGCTGATCATTCCTGGTCCAAACACGCTGATCACAGCCAGCACCACTTCCTTTAGACAGCTGTTGATCTCCTCTGAGAAAAGAACACAATAGAGTAAAGAGACCTGCAGACTAGAAAGTTTGACATGTCAAATGTTTTTGATGGCAGGTTACCGTGTCTGCCTTTTCGCAAGCCCATTTTGCAGCCCTGAAATTACACAGATTAGTATCCATTACAGTAAATTTTGTGTTTATTTATTCAGCCCATGGTTAGTAATTCATGTAGTTACATTTTTCATAGACCTTTTTCACATGGCATAGCAGTAAAAGCACAGATGTACTTAACAATATTAACAATTATTAATTTCATTAACGATGGCTGTGTGCATTTAGTTTTGCCAGTTCCACAAGTCTTATATTGTGCATGCATCATGACTGAAACCCTTAAATGTAACAGAATCATCATTAATGTTACACATGTGCTTCTCAATATAACAGACATGCTAGTGTCCTAAATATTTTAAAATCCTGCAAAGGGTGGTGTCATCTAGACAAACAACAACAAAAGTTATATTTCCATAGGTGGATTATCAACATGGCAGCTGCCCAGGGGCCTCAGACCGTCATGGGGTCCAAAAGCCACGGGTACGGGTCGCGGTGTGTTTAGTTTGGTTGATAAAGAGTGTAAATTGTTTTGTGAATATCAACTGAAATGACAAAAGCACTCCATTATTGGTTAATCCTGAGGCCCTGTCTTGTAGAAAACTAGTTTAATATTTTCATTATTTAAGTGTATATTAAGTGTACATGGGGAATTAGTTTAAATAAATGTGTTTACATAGAGAAGACAAGGTAGAGACAAAGAGAGACAGGATGGTATTACAGGTCAGATGTTAATGGGTTCCTGATAAGCGCAGTGCACACAGCAGACTATATGTGGTGGCTTTACTTATTTGCTCAAACACACAAGTCTTAACAATTGTTGAGGAATTTTGTAGTCTAGTAGTTTTGTAGTGTTTCAGGATATAAAAATCGGTTTATTTATTTTTAAATAGCCTTTCAATATTGCCAAGGACGATCTCGGTGTCCTCAGTGGTAGCTGCTGCCCTTGGCAGGTTGCTTGGATATAATGCAATATTAATGAGCTGAGTTAGTACCCAGCACTTCCATGCTGCAATAATGTTAATTTACTCCTTTTTTGTGTGTCAGTTTGTGGTTAAATGATTGAACACAATTTTATTTAGTAATATGCATCATGAGAAAATGATATAAACTAAAAAAATAAAGGTTTTTAAACTAGACTCAGACAGGTTACACTATCAGATGAATGATGTAGGGCTGTGTCTAAGTTGATATTGTGCTTTAGTGTTGAGGATTTCTATGAAAGATTATAAAACCAAGTACATGTACATGTTTATGCAGTAAACTTGGGGCTGTTGGGGCCCCTGGTGGTCTGCGGCCGGGGTAGTTGCCTACTGGGGTTTGTTTGATAAATGTATTTTTTCCCCAGTACCCTTTGATCCTGTCATGAATTATTCTTAATAAGTCCTATTGGGCTACTTTAACTAAATGGAACCTGTTTCTGTTAGGACTTAGCTGTCAGAGTCATTTACTAGTATATGACATTCCCATATCCGACAGTAATGTACTATATGATGATTGAGACTATGTTTGTGTTGCAGTGATGGTTCCACGGCCGATAGTTTCTAAAAACAGGACTTTACAAAGATAAGAAGGCACAGAAAGAAAGACGGAGAGATCATTTCAAATAACCAACTCATGCTGCTTACTTGTTTTATTTCGGGCTCAGTACGGCTCAGTTGGGGGAAAAAGGTCGACTTTGGCCTTTTTGGCCGCTTTCGCTTTCCGTCGCAGCCACCGTCTCCAGCTCAAAGTACGCTGGTCAGAAACTCAAAGGGATGTTTAATGCGCTGAAATAAGAGTTAGATCTGGCGGTAAGTTCGGAGCTGTAGTCCTAGCTGCTGTACGCATGCTCTGTATGTTTGATACTGTCTGCTGTGCGCATTAGAAATGTTACTGTGAGGAATTCACTGCTGGGAGGAACATCTCTGTGTGTTTGCCGTTGCTGCACTTTAGCTTTATCATGCTCAGTTGAGGAGTTCAGTGTGTGCAACACATTGGAAACAGATCCGCAATTAAAAGCACATATGCGCTATGTATGCGTTAATATCTGCGTTTGCTTGCACCTATTTCGAAACAGTGCACTAAACATTGACAGTGTAAGCGGGTTAATAATCAACTCCTGGCCCCTCTGCCCCCTCTGCCCCCCCCTACACCCCCTACACCCAGCTCCTCTCCTCATGGCAGAGGTCTACTATGTCGGAGTGGACGTGGGCACTGCCAGTGTGAGGGCTGCACTGGTGAGCAGGGCCGGCCTGTTGAACAGCACTGCAGAGGAGCCCATCAGCATCTGGGAGCCCCAGGCTGACCACTACGTCCAGTCCTCCTCTGAGATCTGGGAGAAATGCTGCACAGTTGTAAAGGTAGGCTGACCTCAGAGCAGTGGTTGGTACCCCATCACAGACCCCACCTACTGATCCCAATGTGTTCATATGGTTGCATTATGTTTTCATACAGTTGAATTTTCTTTGTTTGGTTGGTTTGGTCATGTGTGCATCCCTACTGCTACCACTGGCAGGAGCTGGACCATTTATAACTTAAACTGTTCATCCATTACTCTGATCTAACTGTTTTGAACTTTATCCATAATGGTTTCAGCCATGTATCCATTACTCATTACTTACAACCTTTCTGCTAGTTATAAATGATAAATGATACTTTTACTCTTTCTACCATTTCTCTGCTAGTAGCTGTCTAGTTTAACCTCTCTGCTCATTTGCACTGCCTCATGTTGGTGGGAGCTGTGCATTGTAGTGCATAGTCAGTGTAGTTGGGCACTTTTTGGTTTTTGTGACAGTAAATTTAGGAAACATGAGCATCACACACGTAATTAATTCTATTAGGATGTTTACTCTTCTGTTAAACACAAATATGTGGATCTGTGGTTTTCAGTAGTTTCTGTTTTCAAATCAGCTGAGCTACTTCAATCAGCAATCTTTCCATGTACCTCCCTGGCAACTGCATAGGTACACCCTGGGGTACAAGTAAACACACACAGCCTATGTTGAACTATGATGCAGTGCCTGTATTCATACACACTCTCTCACAATCACTCCATGGATATTACTTATGTGTAAAAGCATTGACTGTATGTGACTATATTTTATATCTATTCCAGAGAGTTACACAAAGTGTGGAGAGGAGTCAGGTACGAGGGATTGGCTTTGATGCCACTTGCTCTCTTGTGGTTTTGGACCAAAGCTTCCAGCCTGTGCCAGTCAGTCAGGATGGTGAGTCAAACATTTTTCTCTGCTAGCCTGACCTCATTTTTTGCTTCAGGAAAATCTTGTAAAGCACCATTAATATACACATAAGTACACATTATGGATAGAATTAATGATGTTTTTGAAATGCTTATTGAACATTTTCAGAATGGACTTTCTTTTAGTGTTTCTTCAGTTTTTGAGTTTTGCTTAGATAAGTTGTTTTAGTCTAATGTAATGGGATGCTTTATTGATCCCTGAAGGTAAAATCCCCTCCTCCACAGTGAGGTCAAAGGTCAGGGTCAGCTACAGAGCAGAACCCCTAAAGACGGTAGGGTTTCATGTCTTTTTAAGTTAAACAAGTTGGACACAGGGGTCATTACTCAGATACTCAGGTTGATTATATGCAGCCTATATTTTACATATCTATCAAAACAGTGTTGTTTATCATCTCCTAACATTCCAGTTTAATCTCAGAATCCCACCTGGGATATTCAGCCATGCAGTATTAGCTATTGGGTATATTGTGTTTACATTTTGCTCTCCCAGGTGACAGACAGAGGAACGTGGTGATGTGGATGGACCATCGTGCAGAAGAGCAGGCCGCTCGTATAACAAACACTGGCCACGGGGTCTTGAGCCGGGTGGGAGGGGTCATGTCACCAGAGATGCAACCCCCTAAGCTGCTCTGGCTCAAAGAGGTGAGAGGTGAGCAAGGTCACCACAGGACCACTGATCTTTATATGTTTTATTGTCACTCTCTGTATTGGCTGGTAAGCATGTGCCTGGTGTTGTTTTAGAAGCTTTCTATCCTTACCTTCCTTTATCTTGGGATGTATCTGATAGATGGAAGCTTCAAAACATGTTAGAGTTCCCTGAAAGTGGTTTCTCCGTTAAAGTCTGTCGGTACATGCATGTGCTGTTATTAATCACCGATCAGAGGTTAATTTCCACACATTTCTCTTGTCTTTTCATCAGAATCTAAAAGAAAGCTGCTGGAAAGAAGCTGCTCACTTTTTCGACCTTCCAGACTTCCTGTCTTGGAAGGCAACAGGGTCTTTGACACGGTGAGCTTTGTTGGATTAAGGTCATTGTGACTGTGTGATACATGATCCTTGTATCAAATGTCTGTTCAAAAGAAAGAATAGGGTTGTCCTCTATAGCAGGGGTAATTCCAAGAAATGTGTTTTTTTTTTTTTATATCACGGACAAACCGTTTTCTAAGAAATGTGCCTTTTACCATGATATTATTGATACTGTATTGTTACAGTGTACACTATAAGTACACTGTTCTGCAATGTTTCGCAGCTCTTTATGTACTCTGGTGTGTAAGTGGACCTATTGCCCTCCAGAAGGATGGGATGCCAGTTTTTGGACCAGCATTGGACTGGAGGATCTCCTGGAAAATGACTTTTCCAAAATAGGTAAAAAAATAAATAAAAAACATTAACAGACAAGCTTAAATGAGCTCAAATTAATTGTAGAGAAAGAAAATCAAAAAAAAAAATTGCTAAGAAACTTCACAGAGAATTAAAATATTATTCTGCAATGATTATCTTTATGTTTTTGTCCTCGTATTGTATTTTATTTTTTATAATGATATGGATCTATTAAACGCTAAATTGAAATGACTGGATATTACTTGTTAACAGTTTAATTACTACTTAATTAATTCATTGATTTGTGCTATAACATTTTGGCTATGGGCTTTAAAATTCTATCTTTATAATTCATAAAAACATCAGACTATGGAATCTGGATTGGTGACGTCAGTGTGAATTAGGAGTGTATCAGCACCCGATACCAATGTTGGATCGTATTGCTCCCAGCTCTAATTGAAATATTAATTAAGCTGTGCTGTTTTCTGTTATCCAGGCAGTGTGAGCTGTCCTCCAGGGAGCCCGTTAGGAGACGGCCTCACCCAGGAGGCAGCAGCAGATTTGGGACTGGACCCAGGAACTGCAGTTGGTGCTTCTCTTATTGATGCTCACGCTGGAGGCCTTGGTATTACATCCTAAACCTGTTTATTGATCCAATCTTTTGCCGAATATATCTATTTTTTTCCAAGGTGCATTAGGTAATTTGCAGGTTCCAAGTGACTTTTAGAGATAGCAGTTACAGTACTTAAATATAAACTCTTATAACCATAAAACAACTTTGGTGTCATCATTAGACAGCCAAGTTAGAAAGGTGGCAGAAGATGTAATGTTTGTGTCTATAAACAGGAATTGTCTACAGTTAATGGCGGTCGGCACGCCTCAAGTTTGGAGAGACAGACAGGAGTACCAGCGTGGAAGCTAAGCAATGTACTGCTATTTTAGCCAGCTAACAAAATCTTATGTCTTTATTTAGAATATTTTCAGTGCTTTACCTTGGTCTCAGACAGCCCTTTTCTGATAGGAAACTAAACTGACATTAATTTTAGGATTGTCTTTTGTCTTGTTAGATGGCTAACAGCAGTAGTGGTACGATGATGTATGATAAACATTCCTGACTAGAACTGAAGCAGGGTTATTGCAGTAACTAATATACATATTAGAACCCACCAAAACTCACCCAGCTTTAATATTTTGGCCAAAATTTCAATAACACGCAGCAAACAGGTGTGTTTGTAAAGCTACAAATTAAAGCTGCTGTATACTGTATCTGTGAGCACTTTGTAAGCTTCAGGACAGCAGTAGACCTTCCCTCTGGTTCAGAAATCCTGTCCATCTGGTTTTGTTCTCGGAGATAAACCACTCATGAACTCTGACCTCTGACTTCTGTCTGTGACCTCTGCCGATCACACATTGTTGCACCAGTCAGAGGTTAAAACACTCTGCACTTTTAGTTGTTGTGCATGTCACAGTGATGTACACCCCTTGCCCCCGTGCATAGATGAACCTTCCACCTTAAACTGAAACCAGCTTGACAAACATTATTCCAGCAGTTAGTGTCACTGTTGAATCTCATGTGAAGGTTAGAGAACCACATCAAAAGGCTTTAAAGCTTTAAAGCTACAAATCATTCTGATTAGTCCCTGACGGGGCTTTAACAGGAGTTTTGCAAACTTTGTATTGGGTAACACCAAAAAATATTCATGTGGGGCAAAACAGAAATCCTGATGTTTATTAAAAATGATTAAAATGTGTCATTTTACTCTTCCCAGGTGTGATCGGTGCAGATGTTAAAGACTTTCACTTGCCCTGTGAGGACCAGCCAATCACCTCACGCATGGCGATGATCTGTGGTACGTCAACCTGTCACATGGCGGTGAGTGGTTTATGTTTCCTGTTGTATATTTCAGTTCAACTTATGTATAGAATATTCTTATGTGCTATTTTTATAAACATATTGTAGGATATTGTGTCAACTCCATAAGACCTTTTCTGCGCACTTTTTTGAGAATGCCACTGTATGACTAATACAACACCTCCTATAATTCATCACATATCCACAGCCTGAGAATTCACAACTCTGGGGTGTTGTAAAATGTAGCTAATACTAATACACAGGTATGCAGTCTATTAAAAGTAGTCTAATAAATCATCTTTCCCATCATCCGCAGTAACTGTGAGTAGTAAAGCAAATTGTTGGCACATCTTGTAGTGGTTACCATTGCCATTTAAAACACTCCAAGTATTTCTTTTAGCTTTTTACTAGTGCCATACCTATCTCTTTGTAGATGTAAAATCATCGTTAGCCTGCAGTGCTAACTAACACATTTCATTTTCCCCCTCACGTGTCAGATCAGTGAGCAGCCTCTGTTTGTGCCAGGCGTGTGGGGGCCCTGCCTGTCTGCCATGGTGCCTGGCGTGTGGCTCAACGAGGGCGGACAGAGCGCGACAGGAAGGCTGGTGAGTCCACTGTAAAGCTCTATACATGGTTGAACTGACCCGCGATCCACGTGTAAATGCTCCCGAAAGTCACCCAGATCACCACATCCGGTCACTGAGACAACAGTGTTTAAAAGCTGTCTCCTTTGTAGTGAATATAAGGCTGTCAAACAATGTTTGTGAAACTATTCATGGATTAGGAACAAGTTAGGCAAGGTGTTATATGTATTTATTTATTAATTATGATTATGATTCTCAAAACACAAGAGGAGATGTGAAAGGCCACCGTAACACAATCATTTCAGCAGTGGAGAAATTAATTATTGACAAAGTGAATTGACAGCCATTTACATGATTAAAACAACAAATATTATCTGGTTTCTTGCTTTTTAAATGTGATGATTTGATTCTTTTTTTCATTCCTGTAAATTATAGATCAAATGTTTAACCAGTAAGTGAACATAATTGATAAATTAATCAGTTATGAAAATATCATCATCAGTTGCAACTTCACACGCCTTTGTGTCATCAGCTGTGTCATCTGTAATGCTTTCTGTTGAATTGCGTTGCTCTCTCTCCTCCCTCAGATTGACCACATGGTGAAGGGCCACGCTGCATACACCCAGCTCCGGGAACAGGCACGGCAGAGGTCAGCTGATCCATTTAGTGCTGCGCTTCCCTGTTAGTATAGCTGTCATCCCTGCTCAGCTGATGATTAATAATGTTGAGTAAGCTTTGGGATGATTAAAAGCTTATTAAGGTTAAAATATTCTATGGAAGTTTAAGTTAATAATGCAATTTATTTTTTCATTGTTCGATTTTCTTAACATTTACTTAGAATGACCCAAAAATGTTCTCATATATAGTTCATACAACACTTCAACAATATACTACAACAAGCTGTTATTCATTCATGTTAATTGTAACCCATTTGATTTCTGTAATTTTTCCCAGATCAGAGAACATCTACAGCTACCTGAACAGCCACTTGAGTTCAATGGCAGACTCCCATTCTGCTGCTGACCTGTTGGCCTCCGGTCTGCACGTGTGGCCAGACTTCCATGGGAACAGGTCTCCCCTGGCTGACCCCACCTTGAAGGGCATGGTGAGGGAACATGAGTATATATATATATATAAGCATGGGGTTTTATTTATATATATATATATAAGCATGGGGTTTTATTTATATTTATTGCACTAACCTACAGAGGTGGAGTGCAGTGTCACTGCAGACCCTTTTGTTACTTTAAAGTATTCTTAAGTGGTCCTATTTAGTTATATCTTCTTGTTTTGATAAATAAAGAATAAAAATCAGTAAAGCATGTAAATAATTAGAAGTTAGTCGTATGCATTCTCACAAAGCTGCTTGTTGACTGTTTGCTGTTTCGAGAGATAAATAAGATAACTGATAGCACTCGCATCTGTGTGTTAAATATGGAGCTGACGATGGGACACAATTCCCTAGCTTAGCATAAAGACTGGACACAGGAGGAAAAAGGTAACCTAGCAATACCACTCTCATTTTTGACTTTGTGTGACTTGTTAATAAGTGAGCTTTAGGATAATATTAGAGTTTTGGACAGAGCCAGGCTAGCTGATCGCCTCCCTGCTCCAGCTCCGTACATAAAGCACAGACATGAGAGTGATATCAGTGTTGTCATATAAATCTATAACCCTAATAACTGAATTTCCCAAACTATTGTTGCAACAAAATCCATTTGTAATTCAGTTAGCCTGCAGCTAATCGAAGCAGCTAACTTTACAAAGCACCGCAGTCAGGCCCAGAGTCAAATCTCATTGCATAACATATGAGTTTGATTTTTAAACATTGCACTGACAACAGTTTACATTCACGATGTCAGTGCAAAGAATAAACTTGGTACCTAAAATTAAAGTGCGTCACCGTTGGAGATTGGTTGTTTTCACAACAGACAATTGTTTCCAGGCCATATCTGTAGTTCCAGGAAGCCGGGAGCAGAGTGAATATTGTTTGTGACTGAATCACTGATGATTTGAGATATCAGACCGTCAATGACAGCTTTTCTTTCACCAACCCTTTGATAGTGAATGCATCCCTCTGGTGACTCTCATTATTCAGCACTGAGACATTATTACACTCGTTATTGTTTTGCAGGTGACCGGACTGTCCCTGTCCCAAACCTTGGACGACTTGGCCCTGCTCTATTTAGCCACTATACAAGCCCTCGCTGTGAGTCTGCTGTGTTTTATTTGTTTTAAAGTTTCAAATGACTTCAGTCTGACATCCTAGTACCTTAAAGTACGAAGAAAGGTTGCCTTTGTTTACTTGTAACCTGATTCCCGTTGTGTCGTCTTCTCTTGTTTCAGCTTGGTACGCTTCATATTCTGGAGGCCATGAAAGAAGCAGGACATGACATCAGAACCCTTTTCCTGTGTGGTGGTTTGAGCAAAAATTCCCTGTTTGTGCAGATTCACGCCAACGCTACAGGTATAAAATACTTACAAGGGACAATGACAGTTTTCATATCAAATAATGGGAACACAAAACTTTCTTTCTTTCTTTCTTTTCTACTAAAGCATACACCCTATTGTGAAAACTTTCACAGTCTCTCCCATTCGGGCTTTAGCCAATTCCACTTTCTTCATTATGATTTTTCAGGTTTGCCTGTGGTGTTGCCTGACCAGATGGAGGCTGTGTTAATAGGAGCAGCAGTCCTGGGTGCATGTGCATCACATGACTACAGCAGTATACAGGTGGAGTGACACACAGACATACACGGTCTGTAGACTGTATTTAGAGAGTGGACAGGGGCCTAGTCAGACAAGGCTTTTGAGATTTTGTGTAGTAAATGCCTTTTTTGGGGGGTTAAAATTGTCCGATCCTTGTGTTGTAGAGTGCCCCTTTTTAAAACTGTGTTTATTTTGCTATATATTTAGCAGTTTGCCATCTAATTTTATTGCCATCCGTACACACACAGCACAGATAGAATCACTGACTCAATGCCTCCATCTGCTGGGTGGAACCTAAACACAAAGTATAGAGTACATGGCTTTGCTGGGCTCAGTCACAGAGAAGATTTGTGCACAAGCTACAAACTGATGATCAATGTTTTGCTTGGTCAAGCTCTCATCCCTCGGTGTCCCAGTACCAGAGTTCGTAGCCCAAGAGAATGGCAAGCCTTTAAGCCAGATATACTAAAAATAAGATCTTATTGTTTGGACTAGGCTGCACCTGTCAACCCATTTTCAGCCATAACTACGGCAGGCAGTTGTTGTGTCTGATCTCTCTGAGCTGCATACAGTCAACTGGCTGGATTTTGTAGGTTTAGACAGCAGAGAGGCCCTGCACTACAGTCATAAACCCAGCCACACCGAAACCACTGCCGATACCTTGTGTTAATACCATAACTGGGTCATGGCTGGTCTCAAACTGAATGTGCTTAACATGATTTATTGAGTGACATTTGTCTTTGCAATTTATGTTTCAGGAGGCAATGGAGAAAATGGCTAAAGTGGGGAAAGTTGTTCAGCCTGACAATGAACTCCAGAGGTGAGGGAAAGAGATTTTTTCAATATTTGGTGAAGTTTCTGTAAAGGTATTTGGGATAGTAACATGAATAGTAAAATGGATGGAATGGAATGAATGTCCTACCTTTTCCTTTTTATTCTATGAATTTAATGTCTTATACATATATACGTACGTGCAATTACATAAAATGTATATTTAATGTCTTATACATATATACTTACGTGCAATTACATAAAATATATATTTTATGCTTTTATTTCTAAGGTGAAACCAACTGCATTGCTTTTAAACATGCATTACGAGCCATATAGATAAAGATTGATTGTATTCTTTATTTAAGGTGAAACCAAAATGTATAATATTGAAGTTCCTGTAAGTCAAGGCCCGGTTATGAGAGAACTTCACGATGTAAGAAATCTGAACGAAAACTGAAATATACCTTTTATAATGCATCAAATGTGTATAATCTTCTGCATTTCATGTATTTTTCAGCTTCTATGAGAGAAAGTACAAGGTGTTCCAGCGACTGTTCGCCCACCAGAGGGAGTACCAGGCCATCATGAACCAGAGATGACACCACCGGTGGGAGGCGGCTGAGCTGGAACTGACTCTCTCTGATGTAATAGTGATGACAAATCCTCATACTGGAAACAAGAACACACGTCTTAACCTTGCTGCTTGTCCTGATGTTATTAATGGTCCCCACCTGAAGGAAAACCACTCCCCGAGGGGTTGAATATCTGTCAGTGGTTTAGTTAGCAATGAATGTATGACCGGTGGCACAGTTTAGACTTCAGGATTTCAAACCACCTGGCAGATGACAGTAACAGAGACCGCCCTGTAGACAAGCTGTAGAGCTTTTCTGTCTTTTAGACCCACTGCTGCTGTTTTAGCTAAAATGAAGAGCAGGATGCAGCAGTGAATGTGGGGACACCATTGACTTCCTCCACCCAGAGTCAAATACCATCAAGTTCTGTCACCTTCAAATGTATTCCTAATAAATAATTAAAATAACAGAACTGTGCTTGTGCCTTGCACTGCAACCTACTGCAACTCCAATCGAATGTGTTTTTGATATATAATTTAGTGCACTTCAACTCAGTAGTGACACTCATTCATTTTTAAACATATTTCTCTCTTCACTGTATTACGTTATTCTTCCATTTCCTGTTTGAAACACCTCCACTCTCTTCAAATTCTCCTGTCTGCTGGTCACAGAGAGGAGCCTGTTGCCAGCGGTTCCCAGGATCAAAGTTGATAAGCTCTTCACTGATGCTGTTGACCCGGTGAGGGGGAACGCCAAATCCTACACAGCTGAGTTAACAGCCGCCTTCAAACAGAGCTAACCGTGGTGGCCAAAAGTCATGGCTGTAGTTCCCTATTTGCTAAACATCATTCTTTAGTCTAAAAATGACGGGGGAAAGAGAGCAACCTTAAATCTTTTATTGTCCCACACAGATGCCATTTAAACACTCGTCCATTATAGTATAGATGCAGTAATTACACAAGACTTTCATTGAAATTCGTTTGTTTGGCTTGGCAAAACTAATGCAAAGTTATACTAATCAGGTATGTGAAAGAAGACAATTTCACAAATACTAAATAATTAAAACATTTGTAATAATAATGAAGTAAACCTCTCATAAAATAAGCACTGAGGCAGGTTTTATTTGCTCTCATTAGGTCATCCTTTGTGTAAACTGGCACCATGAATCACTTTCTCTTGCACTGGTTCTAAAAGTAGAGGTATAGTACAACAATACACATCTTATTCTGCCGTACTGTATAACTGTTATTTTATCATTAAATATGAAAATTCCCATCTCAACCCCTGCCCTTCCAAAAACCATCCCCCTTTATAAAAGTAAAAAGTCCTATATATATTCTTTAAGGCACTGGTTTTCATTCCATACATGTTGTCAGGGACTGGTTTGTTTATCTACCTGGTAGGGACAAAAACGAGCAGTAGGCCTACTCAAGTCCAGAGTTGAGAGGTGCTGGAGTAAGATACAGTCTGTGTGACAAAAGTGAGTGTTTAATATCTGTGCTGTCTCTGTGCTGTCTCTATGTGTGCTTATGGCTGGGGTGTGTAGCGCAGGTACTTCTTGCCAGAGGGCAGATCTTTGGTGTAGATGCCTTCTGGGAACAAAGAGGCAGCCTCCTCCTCAGACATGCTGGGAGGGACCATCACACAGTCTCCAGGCTGGAGGAAGACAGACGCAGAGAGAAAACGAGGTTATTCTACGTGGCTGTTCTGTAGTCAGCTGCTGAAATGTTTGCTGACAACTCAGAACACTTCCAGCGTTTGACCTACCTTCCAGTCGGCAGGTGTGGCCACACGTTTCCCTGCTGTGATCTGGAGCGAGTCCACCACTCGCAAAATCTCATCAAAGTTGCGTCCGGTGGTGGCTGGGTAGAGGAGTGACAGTTTCAGCCTTTTGTCAGGGCCAATGATGAACACCTACACACAAACAAAGAGATGGAGCCTGAGACGGTTAATTAAGACACTAAGTTATTAAGTTTGAAGGCTGCCTATAAAATAGGAAAATTGGATTTTGATTGTGAAGACTCTTACACAGCGGGCAGTGAGCGGCAGGCCATCTTTGTCCTTCTCATCGGGATCCAGCATGCCCAGGGCCACTGCCAGCTCCCGTTTACTATCTGCTATGATGGGATAAGGCAGCGAGCAGCAGGCAGACTCCTCACAGTTGTACGCCAGGATGTCCTGGTTAGTACAGAGACAGTAGTTAGCTACATTGATGGACCCAATCCATGGCAGAAAAATGCCCCCCACAGCACAGCAGAGCCACCGGATCCCCTCACTGCAGGGGTCAAGCATTCAGGCCCGCACCATTCTCTTGGTGTACGTCACACACTTTACGAGGATATGGCGAAGGATGAGCCATCTGAACACATCACATCTTTCCACATCTCAGTAGACCAGTGCCAATGTTTTTTTCACCACTGAACTCTCAAATGTGCATTCATCTTTGTAATGAGAGATTTATGCACTGCAACCATACTATGGCAAAATCAGAGTCAACTGAGTCTACTCAGCATTTTAATAAATGCCACAGAGCATGATTGGATGTTAAATGCTTAATTGTACCATGCAGTGCATCTGTGCTGATCTGGATCAGTTATTTTTCTCCACTCATTTACTGAGGTTTTTTAATGTCACTCATCTGTACATTAATTGATATTTAGGGGAAAAAAAATATTTACCGATCAGTGCTGCACACACAGTAGAGTGCAAATGTATCTAAATAAAAATTTGGCTATAAGATTGTTCCTAAAATGGCTGCACTATACAGTATACTAATTTGAACTTTACCAACAACGCTTAGATTCAACCTTTTCCTTAAATGCAACTGATGTAGTCCTGTATGAAATACAGTCAAACTACTTTAGATACATCCAACCATATAATCTTATCTAATTTTATGCTAAAATTGTGTTTTCTCCATTGTGAAATAATTGTTTTGCAGAATTTTGAGGCTTTATGACTGTAAAACATCCTGGAAGGTTGTGATATCTCACATTCAGTAACTTCTGGATGCAAGTTTTCCCAGTAAGCATTTGAAATGTTATATAAGGGTATATGTAACCGCAGCTTCAACAGCATTTACACAACATCCTTCTGAGAACCTTCCATGTTGACCCACTGTGGGCAGCCTCATGCCTTTTCAGTTTGACTGATATCAGCTCTGTGTGTTACTCCAGATGTGGTCTCAGAAACACCTTGGTCCAGCCGTGGTGATCCTCCAGGCAGTCGATGGAGAGGGCGATCATTTTGACGTTGCGTTTAGTGAACTCACTGCACAGTCGGGCAGCTCGACCCAGCTCTGTGGTGCACACAGGGGTGTAGTCTTTGGGGTGGGAGAAGAGGATTCCCCATCTGGAATGGAAAGAGAGATTAGTGAGGCTGTGTCAGATGTAATGTCAGCATCAGTGCTTCTGTAATGAGGAGATGCAAGCTGAACTTTCAGTCTCACTCAGGTTTCCTCTCATCACACCCCCTCCTTTTAATATTGTGGTTACTAATGTTGCACAATAGGATTACTGATTGATGCATCTCACCAAACTGACAGGATGTGAACCCAAAATGACTTTTATCATGAGGTCAGCAGTGTGATGGTGCACCATGAACATGGTGGAGGGACTGCAGGTTTCCAGACCTCTGGCCTGGTCAGCTTACTGATGCTTCTGATTAAGATCATCTCAATATCTAATCAAGAGCCTTATGACCTGATCACAAACAGCCATAGATTAATTTGTCCACTACATTACATATTTTTTTTTGTATGACATATGCACTGACAAGCCACAGCACGACCACTATTATAGGTTTATAAGTTTAGATGACACATAAAGCATAGTCAAAGGTCTAAAACAGAAGTAGAAGCAGTAACAGGAACTGGATGCAATATCTCCCTTCCTCCCCCTCTCTCTCGATAAGAATACGAATCAGTAACCGAAAATTAGAACCATATTAAATGAGCCTACTTACGAATCACCGAGAAATTCGTGGAGTTTAATTTTGCCAATGGTGGCTTCTGCCTCGAAATCAGGAAATACATCTCCGAGCAGCAGTCCCGGCATATTCGGTGTGATGTGTTCCGTGTATTCAGCTGCGGTTCTTATGACAGTATGCGTCAGATGAAAGAGGAGGCGGAAACTTCCCTGTGAACGGGCCACTCTATTTACATAAACGTTCACTGTCGACTGCACAGGACAGCACACAATATACCACCTTCAGACTCATATAATCCGTTGCTTTGGGTTTGATTGGAGCAGTTGTGCCAAGGTTTGAAAATGACCAATTTACGCACGGCCCAGTTTCCTACCCAGTATTTTATTATTATTATTATTATTATTGAAAGTACAGCTGTATTGTTAAGTAGTTTAGTCAGAGAATCAATGATTGGGGCCTTTTCCGTCCTGCTGGTGTTATTAGATACAAAACAGAAAAAAGATAAAGAATTAAGTTTTATTTTGACATGTTACAACATGCAAATAGCACCATTTCGGTGGAATGGCCCATTTACAGTATAAAAGGAAGGTATACCATTTCAAACTCAATTACAAGTTAATGGGGAGGACAGTTTAGCCACGTGAGTCGTGACCAGAGCAGTCCAGTTCTGAATCGGTGACATTTTAACCCCTGCGTCCGGACTCTCCAGTTTGCAGGATGTTTTGCGCCTGAGCGCAGCAGGATTAAAGAGTTTACTGGCCGCAGGTGGTCGATAAAGAAGGGCGGAGAGGTTACTCCGGTTACTTTATCAAATGAAAATGTCCTCACCAACGTCCAGACGGAATAGTTGTCGTGGAGTTGCGTGTGGAAACCGGGCATCATCTGATTGCCATGTCCGGCGCCGGGGCTCCAGCTGTTCTTACTTCTCCTCTGGAGCGCAAACTGAAGACTTTTCCGTCAGTCTGAGCCAGCCGATATTCACCATAACGCTCCGGTTCTTGTTGGCGATAGATCTGTGGCTGTCCAAGAGGCTCGGAGTGTGCGCCTGTGAGGAGTCTTCATGGGGCAGCATACGGCCCCTGGTGCGGCTGGTGGAGTTCTCTGGGCATGTCATCCCGTGGCTCGTCGGCACCGTGTACACTCTGCTGCGGGGAGAGAGTGCGGCGGAGCAGGAGATCATGCTGAACTTGGCCCTGGGTGAGCGAATTGTTTTGAATTTGGGTTATCAAGACTGACTCCAGATGCCAACACTGGCTCGGATTCCTGCAATCAAATTATGAATTCATTTTAAGTCTCCGCTTCTTAGAGAGCTGCCACCCATGATCAGCTTATTATTATTCTGGCTAGTGTGGCACACCAATTTGGCCAACTTTCCTGAACGCAGCATTAGTATTATATGGAATACAAAGTGCACATTACAGGCTAATATATCAACCTGTTATCATCACCACATTTGCTGCGTTATTACGCACATTTGTGCCAACTCCAAAAAGTAAAGCCATTGCCAGCCATCAGTGGCTTTGTTGAGCTGAATAATGTTAATGGCTATTGAAATAGCACAACATAACAGCTCAAAGCTGCATCAGTTCACCCAAACAGAGCGACAGGCTGTTTGTGCGTCCCCGTGACCGAGCGAGAAACAGCAACAGCGCAGCAATGGAAAGTTTTCTTCTTTGAGCCCAGCTGATGGCATCTGTGGCCACTGAGAGGCATCCACGCAACATAGCTGATGCTTTATTTGCATGTGTAGATTATATTCGTTGACTGACCGTTTTCAGATCAGGTCCTGTGCTGTTATACTGTATCTGTTGTGGTGGAATACCACAGCTATTTCTGGCACATAGCCTATAGGATACCACTGTGTTCTGGAAATACTGGGGGTAGTGTAACCGTTCTTAAATGCTACACACCAATGAGAAATGAATATGTCAAGAATAGAACTTGAAATGAAATTAAATGAGTGTGGTGTTGTTACCATTTACATGTATTTTACTGCTCTTGTCCAAAGTCACATAAAGAGTTCAACAATCCTTTAGAGTTCGGTAACACTTTCTAATAAGGCAGCCTTTATAAATGTTTATAAGCAGTTCAATGGTCAGTTATAAGCCATCAATAAGAACACCTTTGGGGTTGCCAGGTTGTAAAAAAACCCCGCTTGCTTTGTCATTTTGTGCTTTCAGTAAAGAGGTGTTTTTGTAGAAACACTTCATTAATGACAATTATAACTGCAGATGTGAGGGCTTATTCAAAAGGGAGAGACTCGTCAGCATTTCATAATGGATTACTAACATTTCTAACTGCATCAAACAGAAAGGACAGACACCAGCCAAGGGGATTTCCCACAAAAAAGCAGTTATAAGCAATGGCATATAACAGATCTATAAAGCATTTGTAAGTGATATATTAACCATAAATAAAACCAGTAGTTTTTACTTCTGAACCATATATAAAGAGTTTTTGATAAGAAAGTGACACAGAGGTAAAAAGTAGTAAAAAGTCAATTGTAAAAAAAAAAGTAAAGGAAAAAAATACAATAATAGCTTGGATAGAAATTAGAAAACCAAAAGGTATCAAAAAAAGATGTAATATTTATGAGAGAGACTATATGGGACAAAGAATTTAAACCAACTCAGACAGTATGTTTAAAACCCGGGTGAGTAAAGGCTTTATTAAATATAATCAGGTAATTACAGATAAAGGGATTTAGAGAATTTGATATGATAATATGATTATTTTACTTTAGAGAAAAATTATATGATCTATAAAAATAGGATTAAATATATATGTATTTGTATTAAAGAGCTAATACAAAAAATACACTAGATCAGATTTATTGTATTTTAGAAGATGAGCCTCAAAAATCAAAAAATCAAAGCTATTTTCAGCTGGAAAAGGAAATGAATTTAACTATAGAAACAGAAATATGGAAGGACATAGGTAACAATACATGGAAAACTTGAACTTAAAAGATTCATTATTTTGGAGAGAATATGCTTAGAATATTTCTTTGTTTCGTCATAACATTTACTGTCCAAGCAAAGCACTCTAAGGAGGCATCACCAGGCATATGGTGTAAAAACGTGGAGTTAGCAGAAGCCAACCATACCCTCATTTTCTTCTCCTCCAGTCCTGCAGCAATATTGGACAGAGATAAGTAAAACTATGGGCTCCATTTTTCAGTGTAAACATAATTTAGGACCTGAACAACTATTACTTGGTAGAACACCATGCATAAATTATAAATATCTTTTGAGAGCTCTAAGAATAGCAGCACTTAAACAGATAATACAAAATGGCTGAAATCCGAACCACCACAATATAATAAATGGAAGACCACAAGGAAGGAAGTAAGTTACAGTATTCATTAACATACACAAATGTTGGTTGTTTATTACATGCTTTGTTTTACTTGTTTGAAAAGTAACTACTTTAGGGATAGTTCAGATTACTCTCAAAAGAAAATGTTTAACAAGGGAACGTGAGCTGAGTTGCCACCAATGTTACATCTCTCTCCTCCTCTCCTCATAGCTCTGTTGCTGGACCTGCTGCTGGTCAGAGCTGTGAAGACTCTGGTCAGACGTCGCAGGCCTGCCCAGAACCGCTCTGAAATCCTCTCCGCCTTCTTTGTGGAACGCTACTCCTTCCCCTCGGGACACGCAACACGGGCGGCCATGTGTGCCCGGTTCCTCCTTGCCCAGCAGGTGGACACAGCTTCCATGCGGGTCCTGGTGGTGGGTTGGGCTACTCTGGTGAGCCTTTCCCGGCTGCTGCTTGCCAGACACTATGTGACAGATGTGGGCTTTGGCTTGGCTATGGGTTACTGCCAATATAGTCTAGTGGAAAGGTTGTGGGTGACCTGGGACTGCCTGCAGGACCTACTGCTCATGCGACTGAGAGAGAGACTCAACAAGGCTTATAGTGGACTCTGGATGGCAGATTGGAAACGTTAGGCGTGGTGGAAGTGTGTGTGTGGGGAAAATGTGTAGCATGAGTGTGTGTAATTCAGGAATTCCCTGCTGTTATAAAAAGGTGAATTTGACTATTTATTGGATTATATCAGAGTTACTTCAGTATGCTTATAATTTGTTCTGTTTTTATGTATATTTCTTTGTGTTCTTTTTAATTTTTTGAGAGAAGAATGAAGTGGAAATATTGAAACTGGATGGCTTGGGTAGTTACTGATGGATCGTAGCATATCAGCTTGTTTGCACAATGGTGCTGATGATGTATGGACTTACTCTTACAATGCTGAAACCAAAGCTGAATTTAAATAGAGCCTTTTTTTAGAATAAAAAGCCAAGATGAGTACCATTTACAGATGTAGATTTATATCTTCAGACAGTGAGTACGTTTGTGAGTAAGTATGAAAGCTGTAACTACTGTATGAAAATGCCACTGGCACCCTGCTTCCTGTTAAAGTGAGATTTCATATAAGTATGTGGTGGCACTAGTGGGGGGAAGTCAATTCACACTTCACCCAAGTTTCCATCAGCTGCTGCTGAGTCTCCTGACTGTCATTATAATACATCCCATCTCCCGTTACAGTGTTGATCTGTACATACCAGTGCAAATTCCACTCTAAACTATACAAGTATGTGGTGATTTTTTTGTGGTTTTGCCTTTAAATTGATAAACCAGAGAGAGGACATGTCATTTTCCCAGTGGATGATTGAAGTGGAACAAAATGTGTATGCATAATGCAGATGCAAACAGTTGTCCACAGAGGGCAGTGCATAACAAGAATATGGTTGCCAATGGCAACATGATGGAGCAGCATGTTTTGTTTAATGTGCCGCCTGTGAATTGATCTCAATATGTAGGTAGGTAAGCTTATTGCTGCCACACAAATAGTATCTTAAGTTTTGTCCTGTTTTGGAGAAAACATTTAGGATCAAAGGTCAAGGGCTCTCTGGGTCACATATGCTTACATATTTATAGTTCAGTAGCTTTCTTGCATTTAGTAGACATTGTTAGCTGCAGTTGGTGCATTTGGCCCCCTCAGGTAGCCAATTGAGACCATATTTATTAATATAATAAAACTAATTTCCATGGAACCTTTATTAAATCACACAAAGCGAACATTTCATACATAGTAAATATATTTACTATATAAACAGCAGGTATAGAACAGGAATCACTGCATGAGGAGAAGATACAATGCAAACACTAAATGCAGTGTGTACACAAATGATTGTTGCAAAGCCTTAATTGCAGTATTACAATTCCTGAACGGTTCTTTTAGGACCTGTGTATCATTTATGAAACACTGAATCAATTCATCAGTTTAACTAAGTAAAGTAAAAGCATTAGGTAAGAGGATGAGCGTGGAGAAATAATGTTTTGGTGTTTTATTTTGTAACAGCTAAATAAAATCCCCCTCCACTTAAAAATATGTTTTCCTTTTTGTTCCTACAGTGTGATGTTTGAGCTTCACTGTGCAGAATGATGTATGTGTAGTTTGACACCAAAAGATGTTTTCACATTCATCTGCTTAAAGTGGAAAGGGCCTACGAGCATGATCTGTGACATCACAAATAGTTTGGAAGTCCATCCTAGTCCAGTATGTAAATTATACACTGTGATGTAGAAACTTGAAGCCACCAGTGCACATCCAATGGACCTTCATATTTCATATTCATAGATTCTGCAATTTTTAATAAAGTAGAAGGAGCAGATGTCTGTTTCTATTTTAATGTGGAAAATATACCTTTTTATTGCAAAAAAAACAGACATAATATTGTTCCAGGCAGACTATTTGTATATGTCTTAATACATGTCTGGAGGGGATCTTTAAGGAGATTCCATTCTGCTGTGTGTCTCTCCACACAGTGTACATTGATACAGTGTACGTTGATCAAGGATAATAACAGGTAGCACAGACTTTCATCATTAGTAAAAATATTTTTTTATGATTTTTTAACCAAATTAAGACATAAACAAGCAAGTGTGTTATTGTAAATGTATTTTATTGAGAACTTAAATAATTAGAGCATTTATTAACAGATAGCAAAAATATTTTACAAATTCTAAACTTATTGTTCTATCCCAGCTACATTAATCTACTGTAGGAATATATTTCTGTTGCCACAATAGATCTTATTTACAATAGAAAAAAATATATTTTAATGATGCAAAATCACATACATGAACTCAATGCAAATGATTATATGTTTTATCTCATTCACTTGAGTCCTGTGAACAGCAGTTTCTCTCTGACTGTGTCCTCTTTAGTTGCTACCATGGCTGGCCCTGCCCAGTCTAATGTCATAGGTGACCATGTGGAAGTTGTCCCAAGCATACAGCTTCCTCTGGGCGTGGTTGTAGTCCACCATGCTGTTGTAACGGTACTTGTTCTTGAAGGGCACAGCAACAGCCCGTCCCACGCCTGTTACAGTGTCAAACATGTAGTTGATGGTGGTGTTGGGCGCAGTGTAGCTGGCTACCGTGTACAGACGTCCGCATACCATGAAAGCATTGGCCACTGTGTTCTTCCTGATGTTGGTCTCCCAGCTCTTCCTCACTTCCAGGCTCTCGGGGTCCAGTTGGGAGATCACAATTGCACCCTTAGCTTTGCTTGTGCTGTATATAGCCCACAGGCCCTGTTCATCTGCCACTAGGTCAATGTCAGTGTAGCCGCCCCATGAGTACGGGTGCTGACCATGGAAACCAGCATGAGGCAGGTCCAGGCGTGATGCCAGACTCTCAGAGGCCAGGTCGTAACGGATCAGGGTACGGCTGCGTTTGCGCTGGTAGTAGAGGGAGCCGCGGTACATGGTTGCCCCCGTGCTCTCCACAGGCTCTGGTAGGACCAGGACCTTCATAGGGAAGCCTCGGGAGAATTGATCCATGTCTTCATAGGCAAAGAGCTGACGAACATCTTCACCCACTGTGTCGATACGCCACACAGTCTTGTTGGTGTAATTAGGGCCCTGGGGCTCGGGATCCTGCAGCCACACTCCATACTTCCCTGTGATACTGTCCGCCTTCCTGTGCAACACAGGATCTGCCACTGACTGCAGCTCTCCACAGCCTGGAGACAAAAGAGACTTAGACTTTATGGTATTTGTTGTACATTTACAATGCTTTTGAGGGCATTTATTTTCATCACCATATTGACGAGCTACATCAACATAAGCAAAACCCATCTTTTACCTGTGGAGTTTTGATTTCCCTCAGGAATGAGGCGGGATGCTGGAACCTCTGTAACCTCAGCCTTCATCTCCTGGTACGACCCATTCCCGAACTCATATGCAGGGTCTGGGAGACGTATTTGTGTAACAAAGCAAAATGTTACACACAAATGCTGAAGTAGAATATGACAAAAAATAACAATTTATGTCTATGTTAGTCGTAAGCTACTGTTAAACCATAGTCAGTCCCAACACAAGTGTCTCATTTATTTGCTTCAAAGCACAGCGGGTTCCCCAATAACCATACTGTTGCGATCCTGAGAATGATCACATGCACATAAACAGACATGCGTGAGTGACAAAGCCATAAAAGAAGAGAGAGGGAGTGTAAATTCCAATCCCCTTACTCAACCTGGGACAGCTAAATGCAACCTGAACTGTTGTACCGGGAGACTTTTCATAGCCTAAGTCAACCACAAAGACATTTATCCCAAAAAAAAAATCATAAACACAGAAGAGCTATGATTTCCTATCATTGCCCCCAAAAGAGAACTTTAGAGTTTAGGAGAAAATGTGCACTTTTGGGTACACAAGTAATTACATAAGTTTTCCCTTTACTCACTGATGTACATACCACTGGCAGGTCTGTTTTCACGCTGAGTCCCCCCAGAGATGTGTGTCTGCTGGCAGGGTTTCTGCCTGAGGCTCTCTGCCTCCTGACTCAGCTCGTCCAGCCTCCTCTGCAGCTCCTGGACCTGCCTGTTCAGGCGCTCCTTGTCTTGCTGCAACTGGTTTCTTTCCCCTGTAACTTGGGAGTAAGCTTCCTGAAGACCCTCTTCACCATTAGCCCCGACCCCAGTCCCAGTGCCTCCGTCCACTCCTGCTATGAGCTGGCTGACCAAAGCCTCCAGCAGAGTGAGTCGGGACAAGACTCCATCCATCTCTGGTGTCATGCTGCTTCTGGAGCAGCTGGACTCCTCTGGACTGGCTACGGTGAAGGTGTAGTGGCAGCGTCCCGTGGCGTCATTGGAGCGGCGGAGAGAGGCTCTGTCTTGGGCCTGGCTTTGGCTGGACAGAGTTAGGCAGGACAGACACAAGAAGAACATCTGGAGCCACATTCTGGAGGGTGAGACTGTGTCAGTGGTCTTCTGGCTTGGGGAAGCAGGGATGCAACTGTTTATCTTCTTCTGCTCAGTAGAGAGTGTCTCCACCTGACTTATATTTTATCTTTCTTTAGCTGATCTCTTCCCACCTGAGTATCCCTGATCAGTGCAGGTCAGTGTCTGAATCCCAGCAATGCTGACAGAAGGATATTTATACAGTTAACTGTCAGAGAGTGGGAGGGGATGAGGAGTGTGGCAGGGAGGGAAATAGCCAGAGGGGTGTGGAGTGTCTGTAAAGGTCCACGTGTGCCTTCTTTTTGGTGAGGTGTGCTGAAAGTGACAAACAATGTGCAAATCACACAGTATCAGTGGAAAAATTTTATGTTTGTTTTTTCCTGTAGTGAATTTTTTCATTGCATCTCAGCAGTTGGTATGTCTCTGCAGGTTGTTTTGACTGGACAGCATCTCTTTATGTGTCTACTGGCTGTCACCTGCAGCGCTGTTTACTTCCTCCGTGACGGCTAGTTTTACTATTAAACCAACATGTGATTAACCGTAAACTCAGTTTATGACCTGGGTACGGGGTGAAATTTGGGCTGGCACTCTTCCCCCCTCTCCACAGCTGGGCAGGATGCTGCACAGTCGGGCTAGGAATGGAGATGTGGTGTGGTTGGAGTTTTCCTTGAGTTTCACCAATCATAGCAGTCCCCCGTGCAAAATAAGCCATATATCACCAAACTCCTAGTGATTTTATTCTCACTGGAACGAGTTGCCTTAGATTTTACTATAGAAACTATAAAAACAATTAAACTATTTTTTGCAATTTTCACTTTCATCCTGCAACGTCTGTACAAAATTTCATAGCAATTTACCCAACAGTCAGTGTAGATGAAAGTGGTGGGCTTATTGGCTGTCCGACTGACAGATAGTCTGACATTGCCAACGCCCCCAAGCATGGCTTAAAACGTGACTGAGAAAGCAAAACATAAAAGCCATACATTTTTATTTGACTGAACACATTATAGTGGAAACTAAACCTTTTTATTTTCAAAATCATCCCATCTGGCTTTCTTTTCTCTCTTTACAAGAAGCATGTGGCCCACCTGTGTTCCATACAACTGTGTCCATGTGATACGTCTGGGACCTGGTTTGGTTCTGCACCGAACAGAGAGAGGAAATAGCACCAATCACACAATACAAGTGTACCCATTGCAAGTGTGCAAAAAACACCCATTATTCTGGTCTCTGAGGGGATAAAAGCATCTCAACTGTCCTTTTCATTTGTCTTTTTTTTAATCACCGTCCTGCGACTGCCCTCCGTGACAAAATAGTTCATATGAATACCAACAGCAATGAAACCTGAAAAGCCGCGTGCAGCACACATCTGTGTTTGGTTCCACAAGATCAATCTGTTGCCTAGTTAACCTGTCTGTTTTACAGCCCATGGAAATTCACCAGTATTCCACAGTGTTTTTACCACTGAGGTGTGTTTTTCTTATGTAACATAACGACTTACACAATCTGTAAAAAGAAAACAGGGTATCACAATGTGCGCACAACCTCTTCCACGTGCATTCTCTCTATATGCTGAAGTAGCTCTACTGGGACACAGGACTTAGTGT